CTCAGCCGAATTATGTTTCTATGGGAATTTTTCTATATTTTTACTGTTTCAGCTGAATGGAAAAACACGCTAAAATGTTTCAAATGACTATTAGGGAAAGAGAATCTAATACCCCACATTATTATTATCTCTATTTTGATTCTGAGTTATGTTTTTGATAGAATTTTTCCATATTACATATTTCAGTTCAACAAAAAATCAACTTTTAAATATTGAGGAAAAGCATGTACTAAAATGTTTCAAAATGAAAATTTGGGATAAATAAATATATAAATTAGTTTTTTCTAGGAGTGTAGGAGTTCTTATATATAGTATATAAAGAAATTTAGAAACCAACTTTTCACAAAGACTTAAAAATTGAAGTTCAAATGATCTTCATAAAATCCTATAAATGTGGAACAAGAATAATTTAAAATGTAAAAATTAACACGTTGACTGCAGCGCTGCATTTTACGTGATTTGCCCATGACGGCCAACTTGAAATTTTTATTATGCGATATATATTATGTCGAAATATTATCTACAGAACTAATGTTATAATTGTGCTTCATGCTGGGGGGTCACCAGCGACCTCCAAACATCTGTAGACCATTTTTTGTGATTTATAATTTAAATTTTTACGATTTATTATTCTTCAAACCATTATAGTAACAATGGTACTATTTAAAAATTTATCAGTATCAATATTTATTCTAGTTATGTATTTTACTATTGGTCGCGTTGCCAGTGGCACCCACGGCGCTGTAGCCAAGTCGAGTGCAGGTCACCGGTGACCCCCACGGCAGTCAACATGTTAAAATAAACCATCACAAGAAAAACCAAAAAAGTAGTATAAAAGAACAAGAAAGGTGAGGAATCCAACCAACTTTAACATAATATCGTCAAGAGGAGGTATGTCGAATTTAATTACATTTCCCCTTCTAAAACAAAATCCTTGCTTCTCTGTATCCAGAATCAGCTGATGAACCATTTCAATATATTTTTTTATCTTAATAGTTCACCAAAAAAAAAAAAAAAAAAGAAAAAAAAAAAAAAGAAAACATGCCCTTAAAATGTAAAAAAATTAAAATCCTGCAGTGGAAAATCTTTGAAAGTTCAAAATAATTTTAACACAAAACTTTACTAGAACCTCTTATCAAACAGCAGTAGCAAAGGAAAATGGGGGGAGGGGGGAAGTAAAATCATTAAAAATATCTTCCAATTTAAAAAGATTTTACTAGTAGTCTAAACAGGATTTTATCAAGTTAATTTGAATTTCAATTTTTATTCTTTCTGAAAAATTGGTTCTAAATTTCTTTCTTTATATATTTACTGATCAATTTTTAGCAGCATAATGCACAAAAATTTTTGGAAGGATTATAAATTTTCCTTTTAAAAAATTATTTGTATATACATAGTCCAAACACATCTGTATACAGTGGAATACGTTTAATGCGAAATATCGGTGAACACGAAATAATGCAACGGTCCCGATAAACTACTATGTATTTTCATGCATTTTGTTCTCTTAACACGAAAAGATATCCTTTCTGGAAATGAACAAAATACAGAAAACACTGGCATCGCTGGCGAGATTTAAGCGGGGTGTGAAATGAAAGAGAGGTGGTTTCACATGTTTCGTAGAAAAGAGGCTAATTTGGCTTTGAAATACCCTCGGAATAGCCTGTGACACGAGCCAGTTTTGTTTATCTACGGTACTTTCGCCTTCCACGTCTACAAACGCCACACAAACATCTCATCCTTCATCAGTTAGCTTTGGAATTCAGTGATGAGTACATGGCAGTGTGAGTAAAAATTAGTGAGTTTGGCTCATATGTTGCACTCTGCATAGAATTCAGCGACTCCAAGGATGAATGAAAATTATTTTCATTACACACGATTCTCAAAAGTATCAGATTCTTTCGGCGCCGAAAGAAATGGAGAAGTAGGATATTGAAACTGAGCTGACACTTAATGAAATGTTTGAGAAAGTTTCTGTATTAATGAACTGTCCTTACTGTACTATCGGAAGAATTCGTTGCAGTAGTTGATGATAATGCATGTGCAGTAATTACCGGCAAAGACATTTATGGCAGCAAAGTTTTTTAAAGCTAAAAAAATATCATTGAATGTAGGTTCCAGTGACAAAATCGAAATGAATCGATGAATGCAGCTCCTTTCCCACATCATTTGACGCCAATGAGGGAAATCACGGGTAAAAAGAGGGCAGTTATTTAAACATTTCCTCTTAAGTGATCCAATAAGGTAGCAATGAATGGACGTGCATTGAAAAATTTTGTAACAATTTGATGCTAAAAAAGACAATGCAAAGAAAAATATCAGATTATTTTCCCAAAACTCAAAAAATGTTTTGTTTTTCAAAAACTTGAAAATTTTGTATTGAATTCCATTAAGTTCTTGTGGAAGTTTTTGTTTCATTGGTTTTTATTAAATACATGCATATATACATATCTATGTAAATAAAATGTACTCTAATAAGCTTAATTTTGTTGAATATATATATATATATTTCTTTTCTTTTCAATATTTTTTAACACGAAAAAATATTTCAGTCCCCTCAGTTTTGTGTTAAATGATTTTCACTGTATATCTGTTGCACATAAATCTCTTTCTTACATAAAATAACTATGAAATCTTAAAAAAGTACATAGTATGAAATTTATAATGGCAAACATTAAAAAACAGATGAAAGTAAATAAAATTTAAATTATAGAATGTACTTTAAAAAATTAATAATAAGTGGTTAAAAATATATTTTTTAATTACCGTAATTTCCGGAAGAAACGCCGCGGCGTTTACGTGTTTAAAACTTAAATTTTCAGCGGGTGCGGCGTTTCTACCCATGCGGCGTTTAGGTGCACTGAAAATAAATATTTCCTATGATGGTCATTGTACATAGTTTGGATGGCTTGTCATGTTGCATAACTGGTGCTGTTCCCACACAAAAGACCACTCAGTTGCTTTTTGCGAACGTTATTTTGTTTACATTCTTTCCCTTGAACGGACCTACATGCCTTATTCACCCTAAACGAGATCTCAGAAACAATAACATTCTTTCCCCTTTCAAATCAACATTCTCATCAGTTTGAATAGTCTCTCTCCTCTGTGATACGATTTATCTTCCATTGCAGAAAAGGCAGGGGTGGGGGGAGGAATCCCATCCTCTCCCCACCCCTGCCTTTTCTGCATTTTTTTTCAAAGGGCGGACACGATCCACCTGCCTGGCAATAACGAACTCTGACGTATTTCCCTTTTAGCATGAATGGATTTTTCTTGGCATTCTGCCAATACAGATCCCATCAGTTTGAGTACAAGTACTTGTTGGATAGTTTTTAAGTAAGAAGGAGCGGAAATTTTTTTGAAAATGTCTCCTGCTAGTGAGGACTTTTTAAAACTTAACATAATTACTTAAAACATAGAAGTTATTTGGCAGAGATTGTTGGATATGAAATTACTACTTCAAATTTTCAGATTACTATTGTTCATATTTAAAGTCTCAACTTGCAGTCTTAATCCACATAACAACCATTGTAAAAATCACCCGTTATCATATTCCAAAGATCAGCAGCATACATTTTTTTCAAAATCGTGCATAATATTAAATATTGGCTTTTGATAGTCAAGTTGATACAAATAAGATGAACTGTTTTTATGATTTTAGACTAAGTTTATTCTTACATTCACTTATTACAATATTTCATTTTTTATATGCTCGGCTATCCAAAATTTCAAGAGCTTTCCGGATATTTTTTTTGTCGAGTTTTTACTATACATACATTTCAGCATTTACATCGTCAAAATTACACAGACACATACTTGAAGTGAATTTACTTTTACAGCTAAACACAGGAACTGGAAAACACTTATTCGGAGATTGTATTTCTTTTTCGTTCATGAAAATCAAAGTTCATTACACAAACATGCATTCACACTGCACAAGCATGTATGGAAATTCTTAATTCTTAATACATTTAGTAAATAAATCAGAAAATATTTTAATGTATAACAAATGAATAGTAAGTAACTAAGCTTTTAGTTAGTAGTTAGCTTTTAGAACTAGTTAAGAAGCTTTTATAAAACAGAGCATAATAACACAGTTACAAAGATATTTAATGTTATAAAGTTAGGTAATTTAGTAAATTTCAGTTGTTCATCAAAGCAATGAATTATGAAGTTCCTTGTGTATCTTTATAAATGAACTTTATTGCTGTTTTAAGCAACTTGAACAGCTGTTCAAGTTATTTTAATAATTTTGAAATATATACACTAAAAGAAACAATAAAATGTATTAATCTATTTGTCAAACTTGATTTTGGCACGAAAGTCTGCAGAATGCTTCGTAGTTTTTAAGCACATAGAGGCACTGCAATTCTTATTCCTTGATCTGAAGTTTTCTGCAATTTTTTTTTTTTTTATTTAAATTGCTGTATTGGCACACATATAATTTTTGTATAGTGGCTTCAGATGTGGATAAGTTTTTCAAACACTTTCGTTTATTTTACTGGCGTCGCTGAATTTTGCGATGAAATGCAGCACATTTATTGCCGAGTATCACCTTCCAGACTTTTCATACTGTTAATGTATACATCAGCAGTGAAATTATTCTCCTCTTTCCTCAAATACTACGGCGTTAAACAATAACCATTCACTAAAGATTTTGCGTAAATTTCCACTCATAATAATTTAAATTGCGAAAATCTCACAATTAGCACCTAAACACACTATTCAGGAGCACAATTCTTTCGAAAGCGCACCGTAGTAGTCAAAAGTGGGGTAGGCGTCTTGCCAAACTAGTCGATATTTCCGTGACGTCAAAAATTTGAAAAGTGGGGTAGGTGGGGTAGGGTTTGGAAATACGCTACCGGGAATGTTCGCTATCTGAGCGCCCTCATCTTTGAAGTTTACGTCTTCTCCAGCGTGTACCGCTCTAGAAAATGTATGAATATTTATGAAACCTTGACTTTTGCCGTGTTGTATGATCAGAATTGTCTAGTACGTAGTGTTTTTCGTTACGGTATTGGGAGCGACATTTTTCGCAGATAAAGTGAAACCATGGCACGAGACGAACTGCTGGAAAAAAGCGACATGTTGGAAAAAATAAAGAATATGAAGGTTAGTATTGTTGCACATGTTTGTGGAAAAATTCATTAATCTCATTGTAATTTAATGAATAGTAGATTTTACTGCTTGCGTGGATTGTAAATTTAGGTGGATGGTTAAATTATTCGATAATATTTCTTAATTTGGAAGACCTTTTGTGTATGGATAATCTGCTTATGCTATTTTAAGATGAATATCAAATATAGATTATGGAGTTTTCTACTTTTTCCGAGAACATATCTAAGTAAGTAAATGATGGAACTCATAAACTGTTTCGATTTCTGGCTTACTAAAATATTCCATATAACTTTATTAATAAACATGAAGTAACACATTTGGAAAAGAAATAACAAACTGTGATGTTTAATATTCCAAGCATTTTAATAATATTATATCATTTTTGCATTGTTTCGTTTTCTATCGTCGGGCCTAAAATTCTATGCGGTATTTCGTGAAACACTATCTGTAGATGTTAATATGGACACATTTTAGCTGTATTTGAATCTGATACTTAATTTTTTTTTTTCATTTAAATTGTTGTTGTCACTTTTTAAAAAAAAATTTTCTCGTTTCTAATGAGTTGTTTAATTTCGTTTCATGGTATATTTTGAAAGTTTTTGAACTTTCAATATATCTGTTACTATAATGTATTTTTTTTACAGAAAATTTCCTGTTCTTTTCCCTCTTTATATCTATGTAATTTTAGGTGATATGTGAAAATATATACTTTTAGAATTCATTAAGCTGTAGATTGTAACCTAAATCTGCATTTAGTGGTTCGACAGGGATATGAACCCAATATTTTCTGTAAAAATCATTTAACAGATCATTGGTTTTGCGGCTGATCTTTGGAATATGGTAACAGGTAGTTTGGTGACATTTTGGAGGCGATAAAGGTTACTACCTAGGACTTTGGTAATAATGTGAGAAGTACTCAGTTCCGATTACGCATTATTTTGTGTGAGGGAAATGAGAGATCATGAGACATGTCATGTGACATTAATGGACGAATTACAGTTCTTTAATCGGAAAAGGGGGGTAAATTTGGAAAAATATCTGTAGGACTATATTATTTTGTATTAAGCTTCATAGTTTTTTGTGTGAAATAGTGTTGATTAATTTTCGGATTGCATGGCGCTATCTAAAGTGAATTCTAAATTTTTAATGCATTTATCTGATAATTCAAAACAATTGGTTGAATGGTGTATGAGTGTAGGATTAATTGCGGATAAGTATGAATGTCCAAAATGTAGGAATGAAATGAGATTGTGTGTGAAAGGAAGGATATTACAGATAAGTTTGAATGGCGGTGCAAGAAATCTCGTGAAAATGGACATTTTGTGAAACAGAGTGTAAGGAAGGGTACGTGGTTTGCTGAAAGTAGTTTGAGTATGGGTGAAATTTTATTAATTTCTTATTACTGGCTGAATAGAATGCCAGTTGACTACTGGATTTCGGATTTAGAAATTAGCAGTAGTACTGCAGCCGATTGGAACTCTTTCTGTAGGGAAGTGTGCGTGCCACGTAATGAAGATTCTGAAGAAGATTAGGTAAATTAGTCTTTTTAAAATCATTTGAGGATATTATTTTTATGCATTGTTCTAAATGTAGAGTAAATAAATTAAGATGGTTATATTGGAAATTGTTATTGCAATGATTTAGTTTAAAGTAATTAGGATTGTAATCTAATTTTTATTAATTTAATGGTAGTGCTTATTTATATTTTAAGTAGTGTTTTTTTAATTTAATTATATTTTAATTTAATGATAGTGATTTTGTGAGTATATGTTTGTAGTATTTTGGAATACGTTTGAGTAGTATACGTTGAGTATTTTCATGCATTTTCGTGAAATTTTTCTAATTTATGAGAAAAAAAGCAGTGTACATGGATATAGTGAAGAGTGTGCGCAATGTCATTTTTGTGCAATTCTGAGAATTTTTTTAAGTAAAAATAAGTCGACGTGTACATGGTTTAGTTATATTTTAATTAAATGATAGTTATTTTGTGAATTTTATGTTTGTAGCAGTTTGGTATACGTTTCAGTTGAAGTAAACGTGTATGGAAATAACTTAAATATTTGACACCAAGTATTTGTAACTATTTTTAATGTTTGCGGTATAAATTCGTTGGTGACGTTTATAATATAATAGATAATTTAGAGGTAAAAAGTTTTTGGATATTTTATTTATTTTATACGTGGAAATGTTCATCCTTGGAAAGGGTATATACTTTTTCGCTATCAGGTAATTTCATATATGTGCTTTTTATCGAGTTTAACCCGGCAGAAGGCACGCACCCAACACTGACGTTGGAGATTGCGCGGGGTGACAGCGTCACCCCAATCAGTTTCATTAGGAAAATGTGTTATATATTTTATAGAAATCATTTGATTATAAACAATAATTGCAATATTTCATTTAGAAACTATACTTCTTTACTTAAAAAACTTATTTCAATATTTAAGAAAAAAAATCCATTCAAAATAAGTATATACCTAATCAGGAGTCAGAAGCTAACATACACTTCTGGCAAACATAGGAAGAATGAATTTTACATGAAAAATTATCACATATTTTGCAAGAAATTGTAGTTTTATTGTCTTTGGATCTTGGACACATAGCACGTCGGCCTTTGTCGAGTTTTGGTTTCTTTGATGGGCGTTCTTCTGATACACTAGAAGTCGCATTATCGATGCTTTCACGAACCACTTTAGGAAACATTGACATATTTTTTGTTATCTCTATGTAAGGTGCTGTATAAGAGATATAGCCAAATTTTTTAGGAATTTTCTACTATTTCCATATTGTAAGGGAGGGGTATTTATTGCAGTAATGTTCAACACAGTAAAAGATGACCATCGGCCATCTGTTGTTTTTCGAGATGTCGAATATAACGATAACATTTCATCAACTTTATCTACACCACCTTTTGTTGCATTATGAAAGTAAATTATTTCTGGTTCCTTCGTATCATCACTTTTATCAATGGCATCATCGCAATGCATTGTAGATAACAAAACTACACATTTTGATTTTTTAGGCACATATGATACTATTGTCGCGTTCTTTTAGAACCCAAATATAGATAAATAACCGTTCCTAGTTTTTGTTTGGACAAACTTGGAAATTTCAGCCTTGTTTCTGTTCAGGGTTCCTACAATAGTTAACTTCTTTGACAAAAGTTCTTTTGCTAGAGGATAACTCGTATACCAATTATCCATTGTTACATTTCTGCCCAAACAAAGGGGTGCACAGGCGTTTTGTAATTTCAAATGAAGAATTTTCAAATCTAAAGGGACCTTCCGACTGTTGTCTTGCGTATATCTCCATGTTATAGCTGCAGAAAGTTCTTGAATCTACTAAGGCAAATATTTTGATTCCATACTTCGATGGGTTGCTGGGTATATATTGACAAAAGGAACACCACCCCTGAAATTTCTCTAATTTTTCTTTGATAGAAACATATTTACCAATAAGGTATATCGGTTGATCTTTACATTATGGAAACTTGGCGATTTTTTGGCGAAAATTTGGCGACCAACTCTCTTACAGCAACCCTCTATTTTTTTTTCCCACCGCCACTTTGTCTTCACGAAGTAAAGACGTTTCTTTTCTTTTTATCTACTGAACATTTCTTCCAACAATCTGCTAGCCGAATTACACTTATGCTAGAAATTTTATCTAACAAAACTGCTTAATCATGACAAATATTCACTGCAAAATTGGGAAAAAGTGCACAATACCATACTCCTTACGCGTTTTTCAAAATAACACATACACATAAACCATGTACACGTCGACTTATTTTTACTTAAAAAAACATCCCAGAATTACACAAAAATGGCATTGCGCACACTCTTCACTATATCCACGTACACTGCTTTTTTTTCTCATAAATTAGAAAAAATTTCACGAAAATACATGACAATTTTCTGAATCTTTAAACCCGGTAAAAAGAACATATATGAAATTACCTGATCGCGAAAAAGTATATACCCTTTCCAAATATGAACATTTCCACATATAAAATAAATACTATATCCAAAAACTTTTACCTCTAAATCATCTATTATATTATAAACGTCACCAACGAATTCATACCGCAAGCATTACAAATACTTTGTGTCAAATATTTAAATTACTTCCATGCATGTTTACTTCAACTAAAACGTATACCAAATTCCTACAAACATAAAATTCACAAAATAACTATCATTTAATTAAAATATCACTAAACCATGTACACGTCGACTTATTTTTACTTAAAAAAAAATCCCAGGATTGCACAAAAATGGCATTGCGCACACTCTTCACCATATCCATGTACACTCCTTTTTTCTCATAAATTAGAAAAATTTCACGAAAATGCATGACAATTTTCTGAATCTTTAAAAACCCGTTAAAAAGAACATATATGAAATTACCTAATAACGAAAAAGTATATACCCTTTCCAAATATGAACATTTCCGCGTATAAAATAAAATAAAGTATCCAAAAACTTTTACCTCTAAATTATCTATTATATTATAAACGTCACCAACGAATTCATACCGCAAACATTACAAATACTTAGTGTCAAATATTTAAATTATTTCCATGCACGTTTACTTCAACTAAAACGTATACCAAATTCCTACAACACATAAAATTCACAAAATAACTATCATTATCATTAAAATATAATTAAATTCAAAAACACTACTTAAAATATAAATGAGCACATACATTAAATTAATAAAATTACCGTACAATCCTAATTACTTTAAACTAAATCATTGCTAATAACAATTTTCCCAATAATACCAAATTCCTTTCTACCTTACATTTAGAAACAATGCATAAAAATAATATCCTCAAATAATTAAAAATACTAACTTACCTAATCTTCTTCAGAATCTTGATTACGTGTCCGATAAACTTTTCTTATTTCTTTTTCAGGAACTTTAAAATCATACTTATAGTTCACAGCAAGGTACCAGGTAAAATAAGTAACTTAATAAAACATCTTTAC